GATAGAGTGGGATTAAGACCACGATAAGACAAGAGATTGGACATATAGCTTTGTACACAGAAATTAGGCTGAAATTATGGGGTTGCTTATTTCTCATTTACTCAATGAAAAAAAAGATTCCACTGATTTTTTTTACTATCCGAAAAGTCGTTCATTTAGCGAAATTTCCATTCGGTAATCCAAGAATTAATACTTTTAAACTCAAAATGATTGGATTTTTTTCTGCTTTAAGAGTAATTATCTTCTTAATAAATTTATTCATAAAAACAAGGTCGTTATTGACAAAAATTTGCCGAAACTTGAACGGAAAACCTATCAAATAATAATTTATTTATCCAATCTTTTATATTAAATGAGGTGAAACAAACTAGCTGATTGTTCTACTGAATTTTGTTTACAAACTTATTCTCTGGATTAAGATATAAAATATATAATAACAATAAATATACGGACAAACAGTCATACACCACTTTTATCCAAACGTAGATCCAAAGTGTGTTATGATGCAAAATAGTATCAGTTAAATTATGAATAACGAATAACAACACAGTGAAACACTCGAAAATCAGGTCAGTATATTTACAATGTTGCCTCATGGAACTGATCATATTTAAGGTCAAATTATCAAATCACTCTCATTGTATGAATATATATATATACATGCACATACATAGATAATGAAAATTGGCGGACACTTACTTATAGACATTTTAACACATCAAAAACAATATGAGAAAGAGAAAGGCGTAGCATAAGGATAAGATAGAAAGACGACAGATCAACATTTAGTTCATATTGGAATAAAAACATCTGAAAAGTGTAGTGCGTATGTGACTTTAGAGAATGCAACAAATGTCAAATACATTTATTAATGAAATCTAATGCATCGATCTATACAACAGGTTAGTAGGAAAGAAACAAATTTTAAAAGGAAAAATACGAAGACCAATTTTTTGTACAGTATTAATCATAATAAGATAGAGTGATCTACGTCATCTAAATCGAACAAGTTATTTACATGACAAATGAAAATTAATCACATTTGTTTCATGATAAATTCTTCAAAAATAAAGGGTGTAGCAACGAGTTTTCTTTTAGGAAGATTTATCCTTCACACTGTACATTCGTAGATGTATAATGTTTCTTCCAAGAATTATAAAGATATGTTCCTTAATAGTGACAGGTATTTACTGATCATACCAACAGAGGGACAAAATAAAAAGCATGCAAAATTGTTTTCTTAAGTAATAAACTGAAAATGTAGTTTTTAAGAACTTAAATATGCACCAATAAGATGGATGGGCAAAAAGAATTGAGAAAAATGAGAAGATATGATGTTGAGGCTAAAATGAAATTTAATTAGAAAGGACATGGAAACAGAAATACACCACTTGTAAGTAGATAACCAGTAGAAAAAGACAGAGGAAAAGGTAATGGCTTTAGAAGACCATAATAGGAAAAGAGGTTGAATAAGTTCCTATGGTTTATGCAATCGTAACGTCTTTAAATGTGTTACATAAATGTATTGTTTTTTATATAAAACGACCCTTATTTTCTTTTTTGGTAATTGCCTTACAATATACGTTAATTGATATATAAATACCGATTCTTTGGATTTGTGAACAATTGTTACTAAACCAAATCGTAGCAAGTTGGAAAATCGACCATGCATACGATTATTAACCTGTTGTACTAAGCTGGTAAAGTCACGTTAGTTATTTTATGCTAAGAGAATCATACAGTAGGAGACCATACTCTATTATTTTATTCTACGGAATTCGACATATGATGAAATGAATTTGTATAAATATTTAGAACAACACATTGGTTTGCTTAAAACTTTACACTCTTAAACTTACAGAGTACACGATAACACTTTCAAATATTTGCCACTCAGGAAAATGGCTTTAACACAGCAGCCTGATCAGTTTAATCATTAAGTTTTCAATATCCTTGTGGGAAACGTAATCACAACAAACTTCCGATAAGTCAATTTCATGTAAAGTTTGAACTAATGACAACTACGAAGGCCATAAAAGAATCACAATTAAACTGATTAGTTCTGAGAATGCAGCCCCATCAAGAAATGCCCCCACTCTTTTGTTTTTACTATTACCTACATATTGTTTATCTAGACAACAACATAATTTTGATCTGACCTGAAGTTGCACACATGAAAAAGAGATTTCCTTTAAACAATTATTTTGCAAAGTATGACGTCAATTAGCTATTGTTATATTGCTTTGTAAAACATTGAACGAGATCGCAAAATTTGTCATTAAAAAATTTATGATTTGAAATCTGGAAGAAATAACACATTCAGTAGAGAGAAGCAACCTAATACATAATATTAAAGAAGCGTAATACACTTATTCAATCAACTTGGTATAGCTAAAAGTCAACGATAAAAAAAGATCCAATAAATGGCTACTGTATTCTTTTCATAATAAAACATTTAGGTCAATAACATCATTTGTGTCATAAATATATTAAAAATCATGCTTCGAAATAAAATTATTTTGTTAAAAAAAATTTATTAGTATGAAAATAAGTGTCAGTTAAAAAATTGAGTTTGATGAAAAAGAGGTTAAATTAGCGTGAGTTAAAAACTTTATAAAAGCTTGTAAGAACGATCATCAGAATTTTTCTCGGACTTGAGAGAAATGCAAGTAATTGTGGCTATTTCCTGGTTTAAGGCAGTAGAATGTAAGTTATTAGATTTTGTGAAACAAAACTATTAATTAGTAGTTACAATGTCACGTAAGTTTTTAAGTGGTCTTACGTATGGATGAAAAAAGGAACTCTATTGATATTTTCATCACATTAATTATATAATAATGTTGTGAAATACTTCAGTTCAAATAAAAATGGAGTGGTTGGTTAACATTTTATTTGGACCACTTAAGAAAGCCTGTAGTAATAGGGTGGACTACTGATAAAAGAAAATCACGTTTGCAAGTGAACTGCCTAAACAAAACAATTGTTAAATGATTTTCATTAGTATGAAACAAATAAGATGAAAAACAACTTTAGTAATTAAGATGATTAAATTTGAACAGTTCTTTGAAGTAGCTAATTTTATCCACTTTCTAATATTTTCATTTTAATAACAGTGTAAAACATTTACTCTAAACTGGATCCATATATAATACGCCCAATGAATAAATGGAGATCATAAGAAGATAACTCAATAAATCGTTCCCATCCTCAATGAGCTACACATGGTTTTTGAAAAAAAGATGACAATTCTCTGTTTCCAATGTTTAAAACATATGATGAGACCCGTTGATCTGACTCCAATTTATAGTGTACGAATGTTTGTTATCACCTAATCTCGTTTATCATCGTCGACTTAGATCGCGTTAGTCCATAACGGAATTAAATAAGTCAATTAACGAGAATGGCATTTGAATACATATATTTTGCATATGAAGTGAACGAAACAGAGCCAAGCAAAATGACGCACAGGGAAGATGGCTGGGAAGCCAACTCCATCTTTGTCAAGTGTTACTCGATATTTATAGTCAGACAAAATAAAGCTACAGACATGTGATTAATGGAATAAGAAGGGCATACACATATACGCTCATATAAAAACAGTCTAGATTGATAAGCGAATAAATAACAAGGTCAATGTATGGCTCAAGTAAAATGAATAGAGTGGGATGTCCGAAAGCTCGAATAAGGTATATGGGCTTGGCATAATAACTGACACTACACATATCTGAAGTTTTACATGTCTCTGGTTATATAGGCACCTTGTTATTACAAGTATATCTCAACTCCAAAGTTTTGTTACGATCACTTCCACAGATGATTTTCCCTAAATTAGCCCATCCTAAACCAAAGCGATTAAAGAAGGACTGTGCACGTCTTATATTTTCGTAAAAATGGTAAATTGGCAGTAGTTTTGACCCTTCATCAGACTTAAAATCATCATGCAATTCAGTACTACACGATATTTACATCGAAACAGCTTTTTACCTTTAATTAATTATATCCGCGAATACCTTAAAACATTTTATGAGTTTTTTTCTAGTTTCATCACGAGCGTCACTAGTTCAGTTAGCGTATTTAATAGGCTAGTTCATGTAAATATAGTGAATCTAGTAATCAAACGCCCTGTTTCATGTCCAATGTGGCCACTATGTGATATCAATAGTAAAGTTCTGTATATAAAATACAGAAGATTTTAAATTTGATATTGGGTACTTAATAACTAATTAGTTTTAAGATTTCTTCAATGAGCTGTTTTTACCGTTCCATTGAAATGTATACAGCTCTTTTATACGTAGAAAAATGAAGCAATACATGCATAAAATATTCATTACATATGTGACAACTATGTAAACAAAGCGGTTATCCTACAATGACTTCACCAAAAGCTGAAAACCCAACTTTACTTGAGTTGATTTGGACAAACAGGTAGTACCACTAACCCGTACACAAAACATATTAATATATATGGTGGTATAAGTATTTAGTATTTGTGCACGTATTGCAAAGATTAGACAATTTATCAAGTCATTAATTTACTGAAAACAAGAGACATATATGTCTTCCAGTTATATTGAGTCACTGTAGATACATTTTTACTGCATTACTGATTTATCAGAAACGAATACAGAGCGTTTTGTATCCAATAACTGTAAATTGACTGATATAAGTTATATTCTACACAAATACAACACAACTCACTGACAAAGAAACCCGAAGAAAAATGAATAACAGATAGGTTACTTACAAACTACACTTAGAAAACTATTCATAAAATGTAATTCTTATCTAAATATGATAGTTACATTGTAACGAAAATATATGTTAATTCATAGAATAAACACAAAACAGAGTAAACGTTTATTTTCACCATTTTATTTAACATTCACAATGTAAAAATATTAGACTGCAGAATGAAATAATTAACTGAAAATTTATTGAAAATTATCTGCACTAAACACAGTTTTTTTTTATATATAACAATAGTAGTAGTATAAACTCACCAGTTAATGATTGTAAACCAGCTCCAATTGTTGATAAACATGATCCAATCAAAATAACCCAAAAATGTGGCCATGCAAATGCAGCGACCAACAATATACCACCATAACTTTCACCGAATCTGTTAAAGTTTTGTTTTTTTTTAAAAATAAATATTACAATATGATTAAAAGGATGAAAACTTTTTAAAAAAATAAATAAATAAACCCTAGTAAACTTGGATCAGAATTTAAAGAACAATTTATGCTCATAAATACAAGAAAAGTTTAGAAAAAAAATCACTTATGATAACTTTCAATTCAGGTTATAAATTTTTTAATTCATATTGTTTTACAATATTTAAAACAATTAACCCCTTTGATAAATTTGAATAGTGTAGATGAAAATTGCCAGAAATACATGCAATACATTTCGAACAATCAAACCATACATATACTAACAAAGATCATTTATATATGAGAAATAAAAGCTTGACGAAACAAACTGAAAGTTAAGAAGAAACAAAGATAGTAAAAAAGGCGTGAAACACCACCGTGGATAATAAATTCATATCATCAAGTTAGATTTAGGGTTAGAACGTAAATGTTTGGATTTTCGCATGCCCAAGGTTTGAATAAACCTTAGCATATGCCCTATAAAAATTTGTACACAACTACAGAGGCTGAGTTAAAATTGGCCTTATGAACTCCTTTTTAATATGTTTTGAGAAATAGAGCAAAGTAAACGCTTGTCTTCCGCTCTCATTGGGTTGTTCGATCATGTTTATTTCTGTATCCATTTTGGTACATGTCTAGACAAACTAACTTGCAAATCACGTTTACTTTTGCTTACGTGTGGCCCCAAAATCCAAAAGACGTAGACGCCATGTTGACGTTTGTGTTATATCCTACTGTATCATTTGTTTAATATATAACCATTCGTCAATATTTGAGCAAATAGTTTGACAGAAATTGAGCGCCCTGGTATATAGATACAAGGTGTAAGACCTATCTTTGAAACAATCTCAAGGAATGAAATTTAAATAATTCCAATGTTTCGCCCGGTAATCTTGTTTGAACTGTAAAGAATTTACATATGATCCTTACTAAATAACTCTACACTGAAGGCCTGTTCAGTCACATTCGTATGCTCAGTCAGTAAGATGTGAATAATTTGAAAAATTTACAACGTGGAATTAAATGTGTGTCTGTATGTATATCCTTATGTTATTAACAGCTACAATCAAGTGAACTAATGATCCGTTTACTATCAAACACTTATTAATCATTTTATTTATAAAGAACAGGATTACGATTGGAAAGTTTTTTTCTTAAACCACTGATATATATGTAAAACATGAGACGTCAACTACAGAGTTGTGATGTTAAAACATTAGAATTAATTTTCTGTTGGAATAAAGCTACGTGTCATGTAAATAGTGTTTGACCTCTAAATGGTTTATTTTTGTTTCTATGATGCTCCTAATTGCATATCATCTCAATTTCAACATTTTATCTTATCATACTGAGCGTTTCCTTCCTAATTATAATTTCCCTATCTATCTTCATGACGAATATTCAAGCCTTTAACAATAAAATGATTATTAGTTTAATATCAGAAGGGGTTTTGTAGATATTATGGTAATTTAATAGTTGGGATCATATGTCAATTGAAGCTAGATCACCATGGAAAACATGGAAGCACTGAACGGCTTTTTTCAGCTACTGTGAGACTCCTTACCAGTGCGCAACCAAGATCCCACCTCCCGTCCAGTGCTTTCAGGTTTTCTATAGTGGTCTAGCTTCAATTGACTCATGATCCCAACTATTAAGTTACTATAATATCCACAAAACTCCTTCTGATACTAATCGGAACATGCTCACTAGTGACTGGCTTCAAGAGGTATTTCCTGGAGTTCTAGTGAGAAGCAGCGACCAATGGAGTTCAACCAGGTCGGTTGTGAGATAGTAACTCACTGAAGACAATGGTGAATGCGTCTCTTAATTTCGTGGATCAGTTGAAGTTAGACATTAACAACAATGGTTGCCGGCTCAGTGGTCTAGTGGGATTGATAGGTGCTGCGTTCGAAACTTGCGAGGCGGGATCTTGGACACGCACTGGTGAGGAATTCCATACAGAGGTGAAATGGCCGTCCAATGCTTCCAGGTTTTCCACAGTAGTCTAGCTTCAATTGACTCACGATCCTAACTATTAAATTAATATTAGTTTCCCTGGTAAAAATAACGTTTTAATATCTTTGTTTACTCTACCACACTGTTAGTATGTTTAGCAAAATATTACTATCGCTGTTATTATCATCTTGAAAAATAAGCATATAATTACGACTGTACAGCTTTGAAAATGAGTCCTCCAAAAAAAGAGAAGTCTTCGCCAAACCAATCTTTGTTATAAATATGGTTGACAGAGATAAGGTACAAATCATTTTTTAATAAGCAGCTTCCAAAGGGTAGCTTGTTGTATTCCAAGTTCTCTGTTAAGGCTGTTTTGATTATCAAATACAAACAGTACGTTTAATGTTAGTCTTTTTATACACCATTTATTTTGTTTATTAGTAAACAGTAGTCAATTGAGGAAACAAACAATGCAGAAATCCTTATTATTGTATTGACAGTCAGACGCAAAAATGTCCATGATGCAATAAAAAATAGAAAAACACAAACATTGCATTCGTTTTTTTCCTATTTTTGGATTATTGTTTATAAATAGCATTGGAATGTATATTCAAACAATAGTTGTTAGCGTATCGATTACTTTCCTAGGTTCAACTTAAGTGAAAACAATTAGTTACAGGTAAACTCGTCACCTGACACGCTGTATTTCAAAAATGTAACCAAACACTAAACTTTGTATACGTTACTCGTCAAATAAAAGTTTCCATTCTTAAAAGAACTAAAGAAGGTAAGTAGTTTTCACGAAAAACTATTGTAAGTATACACAGTATTAGGCATTGAATACCATTTGAAAGCTTTCATTTTACATTTAAAGTGTCAGTATTAAGATTATTTTTAAATCACTGCTTTTCAGTGCTAAATGTTGTCGATTCCATAAGATGTCAGTATTAGTTTTTGAATCATGTCTTATTTTGCTGTTTCAGCTCTCAGGTTTTTATCCAAATGTTTTTCTTTATAATATTTCAGCAGCAACGTATCTTCAACTAGATGCCAACCTAAAAAGAATGAACGCTGATGGAGAATGAATTTGAATAGAGTTATTTGTTGACATTTGTTTTTACGATGACCTGAAACAAGTGTTCAGCAAAAATAGTCGGTTAATATGAAACTAAACTTTATGATAATTGCCTAAAATTGTGGTGTATGCTATTTATGTCGACAGTCATAAGTAGTATGTAACGCCAAACGGAAGTGGAAACCCCGACAGCAGAAATCTAAGAAAATCAAGTTTAAGAGAATAGAAACAGAAATAGAAAGAAAACGAGAATAGGAAGAATGATACAAAATATGAAAGACAAGTGATGGAACTTTGTAAATGAAGTATTTAGTGTATAGTTCTCATATTGTACCAAGACATTCTGTAATTTTGAGTTCTCGTTAATTACAAAATGACAGGAATCGAAAAGTTATGATTACCACATCTTTTACTGAAGCAGATATTGAAGATTATTGAATTACCTTTATCACAAAAATTAGAATACATCTATAATTGACAGACCACTACAAAATTCATAAGATTTTTGAAAGACAATTGACTAAAGTTTGTGCCTTCACGTACTTTTTGTCGACTGACCGGTAATAAAGTTACAGATATGAATCGGATTTTTTAATATTTTTTTAAGTTACATTAGATTTTACCCGGATCAGATAAATACTTCTTGAATACTTGCAAAATTTAACCATATCATGTAGTTGATAGGAATATTGTTTGCCAATGAGATTATTGATGTAAATAGAATTAAACTTAATTCAACAAAAACACTCAATCAATATTACATAAAAAGCTGTTTGATCATAAACCAAAAATTTGTGAAAAAAAGACACTCACTTATCTCTCATAACAGAGCCATCACAGATTGCAGCAAACAATAAAGGTGATGATAAATCTTGTCAGTTGAAATTTTGTGATAAAGAGGTGTACAACAATTAGACATCATTGTTATTTAAGTAAAAATAACAGTTTAATAAAATGTGGAAAAGTTAAGGAGTTATTTATTGGATGAATTTTATATAATTAAAATGGTAAAACAATGAAAATTATCTTATTGACACTCGAATATCTATTATATCTATGAATAACTTAAATTTACTCATATTTCTAATTGTTTCACCATAAAAATCGCATAAAACAAGATAAAACAAATAATAGAACTATGGCAAAACGTCAATTGTGCGCATTTAATACATATGATATTGATATATGTAAAAACATAATAGAATAAAAGAATGGCAGATGAATGCACTCCGTCGCCTACGGTAAAATGTTCTCCAAAGAACATGTAATCACATCCACATGTATATATATATATATATATATATATATGGTTAAATCTACTGTCCTTGGAAATAATATAATCAATAAAGTTGGTAAATATACACTTATGTTTGAAATTGTTTATAACACGAGAAGTTTGTTATTTCTAAAAACTAATTATTTATTTCTACGTTTGATAGAAAAGAATGAAAGTTTATAAGAAAACATTTAAATCAACAGAAAATAACCTAGAATTGATTTTACACTACCCTACTTTTTGACAGCAATCAATTCCATTTACCTCGATTAAACTCAGTTAAAAGCTATAGTTATTCCCACATTAGTGTGATGCATAAAATCAAACTTATTGAAAGTGAAGTTTAAATACACTTAAGGGAAAAAAACCCATTAATAATAATGTGATAATTGATAAACTTCAGTCGGGATTAAAAATGTAGACAAAGTGTACAGATGAATATTCAATGATCTTTTTTACAAGTAATCCATATTTGACACTCAAAAAACTAAGCAGTAATGTTAGTTGTCATAGTTTTGATTAATTCAAATATAAACAAAGAATCCTTTAGATTCAGAATTGACTTGTAGATAAACAAAAAGAAAACATTCAAAATAAAGATATTTTAGCATTTAATTGAAAATGAGTTGTGGATGTATTTAACATATTGATTATTTCAAGTGATGAACAAAGAATGGTGATAGGAAACTAAACAAAATTAATTTAAAAACAGTAAAAGTAGTGAATCGAAATGAAGTTATCAATACAAAGCTCATATTTTCTAGGTTGATTAATCTGAAATAGTGTCGTTTCTACCATAAAAAAAAACCGAAAATTACTAGTGATTTTAAACCTAGTAAAAAATAAAAAAACATCTTTCCACTTATTCAGAATTATATGATTAAACAAACAAAAGAAAGACTTAATGAAACTCTTTAAAGTGATTAAAAAAATATTTGATTAACAATTAGGGTGATAACAAGAAAAGTGGAAATGACTAATTAATTTAGTGTAATTTACAGATTTCTTCCTTAGTATCTAAAAGGATACATACAAGCGACGTCATAGTTATAGCCAATATAGTTCCCAATGGAATAGATTTCTGAGGATTCGTCAAATCGCCCGATCGATTAGAACCAGCCATGATGCCTAGATGGGGAGAAGATTTACATGAGTTTAAAAAAAATAAAAGATGAAAAAGTAGTATTTTGAAAATGGTAATTGACTTTTAAGTAAAATAACAAATAATTATAGTAAAAATAATTGGTAAACCTATTGCTCTGAGCAATCACCTAAGCAAGGACACTTTTAGAAGAAAGCAGACAACTAATTAATTTTTATAATGAGAAATGGTTCTTGCTGAAATCCCTAATGTAAAACTGAACTATATTATATTACTACTTATATATATATATATATATATATATATATATATTCGTATTCCTTTCATCTGACCTATTGCCTATTGCGATACAACTTACCATCAGCTAATTTTAGCTGGTCGAACCAATCTAAACCAAGTAAATTTAGATCAGCTGGCGTTATATAACATATCCCAGTAAACGAGGAATCTCGGAAAATAACTTTAAATTTCAATTGTTCTAACAAGAGAAGGTAATTAGCACATGCAGTACGAGGTTTTTGTGTTGTTGCAAGGGATTCTTTTTAGTCTGTTGGACTGAGCTGGAGTGAGATGGACTGTGAGTAACAGGGGCACATTTATTCTGATTAGTTTTCTGTTGCACTGTTCGTATTTCAAATCGATTAGACCCACAACTCTGAATCATAGTCGTGTCTCATTGCAGATTAATGAGGCGTTGGTAATCATTGGCTATGTCACTAAGGGTGAGTTTAGGATCTTGATCCAATCGACACAGTAGCCACTGAACTTTTGGGACTGGAGGCTGCAAATGAGGATGAGGGCTATAAACTGGTCTTCAGACAAAGACTTCAACTGGAAGCGATCGCATTCAAGGTCGACGATGCCCACATGCATAAGAAAATCATCGTCTTCGTTCATAATCAGCTTCAAACATCGATAGTGTTAAACAATGATGATTTGTCGCCGAAATGTTGGCTTAATATCTGAACTGTGTCTGAGAATGAGTGATCAAGTGGGTTCAAAGGCAGGATCAAATTACAGTAAATGTCCAGCTCACTTGCACCCAACTTTTGAAGTAGCAGCCAAACCTTCCAAGCATCATTTTGATTAGCGAAATTAAATTGAAATAGATTTTAATAACGCCGAAATCACATGTCAAAAGTAACTTTAGCATCAGGATCATAATGAAACTCAGCAATGCTATTTGCGATGCCATCTACGGATGGTGCTGTGGTTGCATTAGATGTGATAGGCTGTGTGGGAGGCGAAATCGTGATATCTGGCAATATCTGCATTAGTTTCGGCATCTGCTCAAGTAATAATTCAAGTTCAGAAGGATCCATATTTCCAAAACCAATGTCGCCAAATGATACGCTTGAATGCTATTAGAGTTCACCTTACTCGGTAAACGGAACAAAGGTTAAAGTTACAGTGACATGATAGGCTATTCTAATCCGTTGTCCCCGGCCCTGGTAACTATATCAAGAAGTCTTGATGAGGCGTAGAGAATGTATTCTATAAGCACCCAGAAAATACGAGGTTACTAAGCACATGACAGAATTGCCCTTGGGAGAGCCACAAAATAACGTACTAGAAAATCCATCAACCAATGACAGTCAAGGATTTCCGAGTGGGAAATGTAAGTTACAGGTCAACTAAGCATCTCTTGACGCAAAAATATAAAATTCAAATTTTCAGAACAAAACTACAAAATTAAGACTTTTTCAAAATGAGTTCTGGGGATCTAGAGACCTCAACAGTTCTGAACTCAAGATGACCGGTTAGGCGATAAGAACCAACAAGTACTCTGAGTAGACCCTAGGCTACTCGTGCTGGTAATAAGTGACTGATTTGGCACAAGATCAACGTTGTGTGAGTTGGTGTTCTGATTGGAGATCTTATCATGTGATAATTTGACAGGCCGTAAGAACATAACATATACTTAATTCTGTTTAATTATTTATCATTATATTATATCAGGCACATATTGTTAGTAACGTTACTGAATTCGGAATTCCTAATTGACGACTATATTTATATGTCTGTACTGGAGAATATACGAAATAAATATATTGGATCTGAAATACGTTTTTTTAACTTTTTAACTCTAATTTTTGCAGTATACACAACTCAATCAGAGTTAGTAACCAAAGGTTTTCGAATTGTCAATTAAAGCAAATTTTCAATTGACGGAGACGTGAGTTTTAGTCTAGAGTTTAATGCAATATTAACATTTGTAAATAAAAAAGTGGGATTAGTTCTTTCACTAGTTATAATTCTTAAATTATAACTCGCTATATTGAAGTATAATATCAACGTTGATGATGAGAATAATTTAACTAGTCAGTAACTTTCAGTACGAAGAGCATAACAACAATTATTCTTGGTTGAGCAAAACATATAATCATTAAAAGATTTCTGTGGTTGATTTAAAATAGACTCTAAATCATTTCTAGGATGAACACAATTGATACACAAGTATACAAAGAGACAACTAAAGGTAATTGATAATTTAGTAAATAATTGTTCATTCGAACATACTTCACATTTTCTATTAACAGAAAATGACATGCTTCACTAAAATTTGCAAATTCCAACTTTGTTGAAACCGTTTAGATTAGTGAATGTAAACGTTATTTTCAGACGTAAATACTTATTGCTTCATAAAAGAGGGGACTGAAATAATTTCAGGATGTTACATGACGTTTATTTGAACTTACTGACTCCTGTTGCTGAAGGAGTGGTGAATAGATAAACTATGGATAAGAATTACCTTATACGATGTACGACGGTAGAGTAAGAAATTTATTATTGGCCTCAACCTGATAACGAGTTCCTTCGAAGAAACATCATTTACCATCGGTTTATTTGATTATTAAGTTACAACGTTGCAACTAGTCTGTGCTGATGACGTTGTTCAGAACAACAATGAACGCTTCACCACCAAACTTTTCAGCACAGAAAAAAAACTCCACCTAAGCTACAAATCCCCTCCATTTCAACATAATGAAAGCATTGGAACGATGAATTTGTCTTTCTCAACATGCTTCAAAAATATAATATTTTTGTAACCAGAATTAATTATAAAAATCATAGAATCACAGCCCAGTAAGAAATTAACTCACTTTAAGATAAAATAGTGCTATCAAATAGGATAAGTCACATTTTTAATTTTACTCATTTATGCATGAAGATTATTATTGATTTCAACAAATGGTCAACTTACCAGTGACAGAGGGAAAGTAAATACCCAAGAGAAGCATAAAACTTGATGTAACATCTGCTATATTTGGACCTTGACCATATTTACGATCAGCCGGAAAATCAATACTATCATATGCCTCCCCCTTTTCACGGTAATGTGATTCAAAAAAGTTTTCTAAAAAGGATTTTAGATTAAAAAACAATATTTTTCAACTAAGATAAGAACAATAAAATTATCTACTTATAAAATAACTACATAAAGATATAAAAATACTGCTTCACAATGTTGATTACCATAAAATAAATTGAGAAGTTAATTTTTAAACATAAAATATTTACAAATATAAATCTATGATGAAGTAGAATTCCAATTCAAATTTATTAAGAGTGATACAGTTTTGTTCACTCCAAAGCACTTTGGATTTACATTGTGAAATAAATGTATTCATAAACGCACTGTAAAATACAATTTTTATAATCTGAATACTTTTCCTTTCTTTGGTATTTTCTAGTTAATTGAAGCATAAATGGAAATTTTCTGTTGTATAAATTATATTACTTTATTACAAGGAAACAGTGATTATGTTATTAATCTATATGGTATCACGTGGTATCCAATATGCAAGTGGAAATTTTAAAATGTTTATTAACTTACAGTCAAGCTATTATTCTGATTTCAGTTAGAGCATCTTAATATTTAAAATGTGAATATACAGTTAAGGATTCAAGTAACCACACTACAATCAAACTTTATTATTGATGACATGAAATATCCAAGTATTCTAAAAGATTTTTCTTTGTTCTTTAAGAATATCTATGATCTATCAAATAAGAACCTTGCGCTAACTATTTTTTTCGATAATGCAATGAGAAGACGAAAGTTATTAGAATTATGTGATATATTTACGCAATACATTTCTAACAATCTGAACACACATCTAGTTTTTAGGACATTTTTTAACTCGTACGGAATAATTTGTGTTACATATTTACCTAGTTTGTATCTAACATAGGTTTAAGAAAATGAGAAGATGAAGAAGAAACTTTTAATAATTTATTTTATATAGCATGGAATGAAACTGAATTTTCTGTCCTTATATATTATGATCTTAAAAAATGTTATCAAAGTCTTATGTTTACTTCCCTCATTTTCGTTTGAATTTTATAAAGACACAAAATCGTCCAGTTATTCCCAGACTATACAACAGTTAAAATATAATAATTTACACCGCCTCCATGTGTATCTTGTTACTGAGATATATACGGTACAATCATGACAAACCGTTCAATATTTTGCCAGTATTATAGAAAAATTCATTAATAGATATTACAAGACATTATTTTCTTATCGATAAGATCAAAGTGGATCAGTAAACTAAAGGATGAGACTTAGAAATAATAATAGCAACCATGAAAGTGTATTTCATCATCATTTATATATATATATATTATATATATATATATTATGTCTAATGCTATTATAATCACAAACCAGAAAAAATAGATAATCGTTGAAAACGAGGAAAAATTGAGTAGCCGTTTACTTCCATAAAAAAGATTAATTTTCTAACAGATATTGCAATTTTCTAGAAACATACTTTAACAATTATATTGATTTTACGTAGACGTAGATTCATATCAAACACCTCGAGTATTTTAATAAATATAATGTTTGTAGATAACAATAACAGCTTATCTTCAATGTTACGTTGCTAAAAGTTCAACTTATTTTTTAGTGTAACTCTATAAATCAGTGCAGATTAGTTTACTTGTCTTTAAGTTGAATCATTTATGCAAGAACTGATGACACTACTCAGCTGTCAAATGCGAAATCTGAAAATTAGGGCTCAAAAACAGGAAACTGATAGTTGAAAGCCACCCGAATTACAATATTCTATACAAATCTTTTATTTACTTCTCACAAAAAAGGACCGATAGCTTCCTTTAAATAATTGTAATTACTGCAAGATACACAGGCAAAAGGTTCTGTCAAACTCATTCACTAACTATGGTATAAATAATGACATTCCTTTTTCAATGTCTAGCAAATCACAAATGTGCAATGCTACTTCAGTAATGTCTGTTATTCAATTATTGCTATATCTCCGTTAAATTTCAGATCATACAAGTGAAAAATGACCAATAACATTATTGTACAGTAGTTCGTGGTACATGAAGAAAAACAAACTATCTACATTTTTAAATTACATAATTCTAATCAAATCTGATCAAATATATTGATAAATACAATACGTACCTATTAAAATCTGTTATTGCTAAATTTATCACTATTCTTACAGATTTAAAGCTACAATCTTCCGGTCACAGAACAAGTAAAATTTTGAAGGATTATAAAAAAAGTGAAGTAGTGAAACTTAGTTGAAAAAAAGGCATTACAATTTTATGACCAACATCAAATGAATAAAAGCTTAAAGACATGATTGTTTTTTTTTACAGACAAGATAATAAAGTGACAACACCCAGTGAGTAGATAAATGGGAGAATAAAAGTAGAAGTGTCCTTTTTTAATGATCAATAATTTTGTTTAACGAAGCAGTATGATGAAACTAATAATAATAATAATAATAATAATAATAATAATAATAATAATAATAATAATAATAATAATAATAATATAGGTCACAAAAAAGAATAGCGCAAAATTAAATTTCAAAGATTGAAGATATTTCAATGATAATATTGACAAAATTGATAATTTATTATTATTGTTATTATTGTAATTGAACAGATTAAGATTATTAGGTCATTTAAGGTGATGTGCTAGAAATATGATTATAGTAGTGATAAAGAAAACAATATACTGCATCAGTTGTTTATGACTGAATAAATTGTAAAACTACTGGATCAAAAACATGAGTTTTCTTTAAACAAAAACAAATTTGAGGATTTATTTAGACTTGAAATTGAGCACTATTAGGAAGAAACTATTGTGCGTCAATTATTTGTTGAAAGCAAAATTAACGATCATAATCGTGAACACCTTATTGACATGAAGTGATTGTTAGCAAAAACAAAAAAGACGGAATGAACAACTTCGTGAAACAAGCATATTTAATTTGTCTATAAGTCTCGTTAGTATTTATGATGAATGCAACAACACCTGTCTGAACTGATATAATAAAAACTGTAGTGGCTATTAATATGTCAAGTCAACATGGGTTTCTCTAGCTCCTGGACAGACCGATTCATGCATTCTTCTCAAGTCACAATTTAACCTTGTCACTTATTTGCTTATTAATCCTGACTGTTTTCATATGAACGTATGTGTGTGCCCCATTTATTACGTGTTTGTAACTTATTTTTTTCTCAGTATAAATATTGAGTTACGCTTGATTAAATCAAGTTGACTCATTCACTTTCTCCACTGCGCGTCGTTTCGTTTGTTTTGCTTCGTTCCCCTGACTGTCTGTTCAGATCAACGATTAGATGAAATATGTATACTCAAAATTCATCCTCGTATTTGGCATATTTTATTTCGCTATTCTCTAACGCCACTTAAATCGATAAAGATATATGAAGATAGGTGGTATCTATATTTGAATAACAATCACCATACGATTTAGCTGGAGTCAGATACAAGGCCACTAAAACACCCCCTTTAAGTACTTAAAATACACTCATGATTAATTAATTTCAATATGTTAATATACATTGAATTCATGATACGCTACTCGTTCGAATATAACTGACTAATAAGTATATCATTTTGCAGACTTTGTACTGATATGATTCAACTTTATGTATGCTTAATTTTCACAAATCAATTCTTTAAATAAAATAATCTGAAATAAGAAAAATAAATCTAATATAGAAGTTTCATCAAATCAACACAATAATTGTAACATAAGAAAAAGTTACACATTTGATCGGTTACATCAAAACATTCAGACATATGAGCATACAGAAGCGAAGCCAAAAGTGAATTTCCTAACATGTAGTTATAAAGATAAATAATTGCTTAGATAATTTAATGCCTTGGTGTATATGTAGTAGCAAAGTACAAGTATAGGTGTGTACAATCACATATTTAATAATTTTCTATTCAGTAACAAGTCAGTAAAAATCATACGAATATTAATGTGAATACATATTTCCAGCAATGCGTTAATGACACATCATTGGTAAGTATTTTCACGGATATAATTGATAAAAAGTCCAGATTTAGTAAATAAACTGATTAAAAATATAAGGAAAGTAAGGATTTCAACTAATTTTATAACTGTTAAATAATTTAAAGGAATTAATATGGATTTTTCTATCCGATTATCATTTATCGATACGTGATGAAGAATATCCTAATTCAGTCAAGGACTAGATCAGTATTTTCTACACCCCTATATTTTCGACATGACATTATTGAGCCATTTTTCATTTAAACAGCATTAAATCAGTTCAAGTGAAATCATTCGAAATTCAGTTTATTTTGAGACTTAAAGATATCAGTCAACAATGTCATTTTAAAAAAGTCATATTGAAGGATTTTCAAACGCAATTTGCTTTCAGTAATATCTCAAGAATGAACAAAATTGTAAGTTTGTTCTTCATGATATTCATGGAAAAAGGATATCATTTGTTTATTTTTGTAGAAATGAAACAACAAGAGTTAATAAACTGGTATAAACACTTGGTATAGTAATAAAACTTACTTTACTTCTTACTACGATTTTTACTGTTTCTCGTTGTAATCCTTATACGTTTTCTTTTATACACATTTTTTTCTCTTAAAACAATTCTCACATTGTGAAATTCTTTGTTTATTTCTATTACTGTAATCAACTAACAGACATAAATAATGAATTCTATGCTAGAAGACTACATTTTTGAGGAGAAAACGCAGAAATACCATTTAGTCATTTTCATATGCTTTTTATGCATACATAAGTTTGTAGGTACTGTGATATTAAGTTGTTCGGAAAACATTTACCGTTTTGATTTCATACTTTGAGTGTGATCAGGATAAATCATTGAATTCATCATGAATTAGCAACTATTGATATATATTATATACAATAGTACGTTAAATATGCAAGTTGTCAAGAAATGTATCAATTATATCCCGTCACACATAAATACCTATATAAAATTACATGAATAATCAAGGCAGACGTTTTACTTGAGAGTATAAGTGAATTCAAATCATTGGTTTCTATTCAA